ACTTGCTGAAATTGAGGAGAGCCTGAAGCATCTGCAGAGGGTCAAGGATTATAGTCTTCAATATGGATTGAAACTTACAACATCAAGAAAACAAAAAATTCTCATCACTGGGCCAATTTGTCAACATTGTGATCGATGGAGAATAGATTGAGATTGTTAACAATTTCAGCTTACTCAATTCCACAATCAACACTTTTGGCACCAGCAGTCAGGAAATCAAAAGACTAATCGCATTAGGGAAATCTGCTGTCAGGAACCTCTATGGAGTACTGAAGAGCAACAGTGTCAGTCTAGAGACTAAGGTGTACCTGATTCATACCATGATCTTTGCAATTACTTGCTATGCGTCAGAGAGCTGAACAGTGACCAAGGATGACAGAAGAGTTGAATTGTGGTTCTGGGAAAAAGTATTGAACATATCATTGACTGACAAGAGAACAAGGTCTGTCCTGGAGAAGGTGAAACCAATCTGTTCTTTGGAGGCAAGGATTTTGAGACTGTCTGACATAGTTTGGGAATGTTGCCAAGAGGAACCAGTCCTTGGAGAAGACAATCATGCTTGAAAGAGTCGAGGAATAGCATAGAAGAGGATGACCCTGGATGAGATGGATTGACACAATAACTGGAGTAATGAGGGTGGGTGTGTCAGAGACAGTTTGCCTCAGGATACAGCACAGTTCAGAACCGTTGTGCATAGATAGGGTCACTAGGAGTGGTAGTCAACTCAATGGCACATAACAGTAGTCACATAACAATAGAAACATTCTCTTTTGAGGATTTAAAAAAAATTCTAGTTTGGCTAGGACTCACTGAGTTTTAAGTTCTCATATGACACACCTTTAAAAAATGTCTTAGAAAATGTCTCCCTCTTCTTTGACTTGTTGAAACCTCTCAGTTGATTTTTATTTTATTTTCTCAACTGGTTGGAGAGAAGAAAAAAAGAATCCCCATGGCATAGGGGGTAAAATCCTGGGCTGCTAACCAAAAGGTTGGCTTTTGGAGCCCACCCCTTGCTACAAAGGAGAAAGATGTGGCACTCTGTTTCCCTGAGGATTGCAGCTGTAGAAACCTAATGAGGCAGTGCTAGTCTGTTCTGTTGGTTTGCTATGAGTCAACATTGATTCATCAGCAAAGAGGGGAGCATGCTAATTCTTCAGTTGAATGTGTAACTGTTATTTAATTTCTCAAATTTAGAACATTGAAAAGAATCAGAATCTAAAATGATATGCACTAAAACTTTTCATTTCAGCCATTTTGTCTTGTCTCTTCTGTTCACTGTTTAAATAATATCATTTGTGTAATTATGCCAGAAATCCAAATTTGAAACCTGACATTTTTATATGACATTGTTATTAGCCTGCTTCTTTTGCTTTTGAAACTTTGTCTTTAATGGCAAGGGTAGACTAGTGGCATTTTATGTAATCACTTATCTCTCTTCACCCATGAAGATACTGCACAGATACTGTCACACCCTGGGTGATACCACAATGACTATGCTTATTTTACTTTTCATATCTTTTAAAATTTATTTTGTGTATCTTGAATTATACCTTTGCATAAGTTAGGAGAAATGGGGTTATATGTTCACAGAATTTGAATATTTTTACAATATCTTCTAGCAATCAGCACTGGTGTTTGAACCATGGTTTCCATAGCCAGAGTTCTCTTTGCATGGTAGAAAACGTATCTTCTTGAAAAGCAATCTTTTCAGTTAATGAGTATATACTATGGAAAATATGTCACTGATTGTTTTAAAGAAGCCTCTGAGGGAGAAACTGTTGTCCCTGATTGCAATTTGCTTATGGAGAAAGCCGAATGATTATGTTGATAATCAAGTAAGAGTGAGAGAGTTAAATCCCAGATTAGCAAAACCAAAGATAACCAACATTTTTGGAGCATAGTTCTTGTGCTAGTCTTAAATGCTTTATTTGTGTGCAGTAATCTCTCATTTCATCTTCCCAAAAATCCACTGGTAAGCTTAGCTCTTATTATCCCCCATCTTCATAATGAAACCAAGGTACAAAAATGTAAAATCATTTGTCCAAAGTCACAAGACTGAAAGTAATGGCATCATGGGAAATTAGGGCTCTTACCTTAACAAAGGAGACTAAATGTGGGTTGGGACTTATTTTAAAAGACTCTAAATTATAGCTAATTCAGAAGTTGTTGGTAAATAAATTTCTTAACAATTTGAAAATGTCAAGTTTATTGAAAGAACCTTTTGTGACTCCATTTTAAAAATCAATCTCCATTAAGACCTTTGAAATGTCTGTTTTATAGGTTTCTATGTTTCAAGTCTCTTAGAGCATAAAATACTTGCTATTATATTTTTAACAAGTTACAATCCTGCTTGTGTTTCAGAAAATTTCATTTTACATAAGTGTTTAAAAAATGTTGTTTTTCTACTACCCTTTAAAAACAAGGGTTAGACATATTTAATTTTCAAAGGAGTGTAACTGGACTCTCATCTCTTTTACGAGTGTTTCTTGCTGTTTACCATTGACTTGGACCCAATCCATAGTTGATCCTCCAGCAGGTTTTCAGAGGCAGTACATGGCAGGGAAGGAGATTGCCTCTCTTTCTCTCGTGGAGCATCTGGTATATTCAAACCACATACCTCTGTGTTGTCAGTAATGTAAAACTTTTGAATGAACAACTCTTAAATCTAGACTGTTCAACTTAGATCTAGACTGTTCAACTTAATAACTCATTGTGATCTAGTTGGAACTGACTAGTGGTTGGTTGTTGACTTTGTATCTGAGGCTGTAAATTGCACTGGAGGAGATTGCCAATATTTCTCCTGAGGAATTGCTTGAAAAGGCGTATGTAATCAAATGAAGCCAAAGTCGTCCACATTTGCTTTTGAAATCTGGTAGAAACATCCTCCCCAGGGCATGTACTGGTTTCTCAATATTTTCAAGTCTTTTTGAGGCTATGCTATGGGCCCTGGTTATATACTCAATGAAGAATCAATCATTTAATGATGAAAAACCAGACTGGGAATTTGCTTAAAAATATGAGCAACACTTGACTAATTTGATTAATGTGGTTTTCTTTTACCTACTTAACTTTCTCAATTTTTGCTTGTTATGTATCTCATGCAAATCAGAAAACTGTAAATCTGAAATTACAGTCTTTACTAAAATATTGCTACCTTTAAATTTCGTTCTTGATTTACGCAGTCCTTTATTCTCATATTTTTACTGGAAAAGAATTGTGTCAGGAGCCCCTAAAACTTTTGAAAAATGTCTACTCCTTGCAAAAGTATTCCCAAAAGGTAGTACTCTTTTACTTACCTACTCATCTTTCTTGAAACCTTTTTAATCCCAAATTTTGATCACTGCCAAATATGAAAGCTGTGCTGACTTAGCCCATACAGAGTTTCGCTGCACCACTCTGCTGTTCAGATCCACTACTGACGATGAGAGAAGGAATGTCTAAATGTTAGAAAATCTTTTTGGTACCCATCATTTGTTTCCAAGATTTCCATATTTAAATGACAATTAAAAAATTGATAAACATGTGGTGGTTTTTTGCCGAATTTGATTACCTTTTATCCTTTAGTCATTGTTCTTCAAGTTTTAAATGAGTCTTCTCAACTCTTGGAGTTCACTTTATTTATAGTCTTTTACCTCCTCCCAAATCCATTCTATTAATTAACATGTAGCTAATTAATCCATTATATTAACTAACATGGGCTCTCTGCTGGCTTAGGGGTGAGTAGTTGCACTGCCAGTCCAAAAGCAGGTGACTCAAATTCACCAGCTGCTTCATGGGACAAAGAGGAGCTGTCTGCTCCTGTATGATTTATAGCCTCTGAAAACTTGCTGGAGGGTCAGCTATGAGTCAGTTCTGACTAAACAGTACATAACAACAATATGTAGGATAGAGACTCAACATATATTTTAATGTAATGTGGTATAGTAGTTTAGAAGTTACGATTTGCTTTAATTGATATATTTTTTCACTCCAGTTGTTGTTGTTGCTGTTATGTGCCATTGAGTCACCTGCAACTCATAGCAACCCTATGTACCACATCCCTAAACCCTGCTCTGTCCTGTGCCAGTATCAATCACTGTCTCTGACACACGTACTCCCATTACCCCTGTCACTGAATCAGTCCACCTCATAGAGGGTCTTCCTCTTCTGCGCTATCCCTCCATCCTCCCAAGCATGACGTCATTCTCCAAGGACTGGTCCCTCCTTGCAACATGTCCAAAGTATGTCAGATGAAGCTTCAGAATTCTTGCCTCCAAGAAGCAGCCTGCTTTAACCCTCTCCAGGATGAATCTGTTTGTTTTCTTAGCAGTCCATGGTATATTCAATACTCTTCTCCAACATCACAGCTCAAAGGCATTAATTCTCCTTCCAACCTCACTAGTCATTGTCTAGCTCTCTGACACATAGCAAGTCATTGCAAAGACCATGGCCTCTATCAGGAGCACCTTAGTCTCCAGAGTGACATCATTGCTCTTCAGTACTTTGGAGAGGTCCCTAACAGCAGACTTTCCCATCACAGAACGTCTTTTAATTTCCTAGCTGCTGGTGCCAAGAGTGTTGACTGTGGAGCCAAGCAGACTGAAGTTGTTTACAATCTCAGTCTCTGCACCATCCATCCTGATTCTGCCAATTGGCCTAGTGGTGAAGATGTAAAATAAAGGTCTTATTTTCATCTTAATGAAACAGTTTATTCAATGCTAAGATTATGAAGGGGAAGTGTGTCTGATCTGTGGCTTTATTATCTCTCATAACTATTGGGAACTCTGGTAGCCTAGAGGCAGGAAGCTGCACTGCAATCCTGAAGGCACAGAGTTTGAGTCCACCAACTGCTCCACAGGAGAAGGATGGGCAGTCTCCTCCTGTGTGATTAACTGTCTTTGAAAATCCACTGGAGAGTCAGCTGTGCGTGGTTCTGATTCAACAGTACACAACAACGATGATAAATACCAAAATAACTTTAGAAGAATTAATACCGTGGTTTTTTTGCTTTTCCCTTACAGAATACCTACACGGTAAACTGGAAGAATATATTAAGCAATTTTCAATAGTAAGAGTAGTGAGACAAAAAGAAAGAAAAGGTCTGATCACTGCACGGTTGCTAGGAGCATCAGTAGCAACAGCGGAAACACTCACGTTTTTAGATGCTCATTGTAAGTATATGTGTGTAGGCATTAGTTGTAACCTGTTTCTTCCTTCTCCCCCTAATCGAATTGATAGGGTAAGGAAGCTTTTGCTTTAAAAACCTGTGTGTTCTTCAGTGCCATCTTCAGCTGATGATTAGAACAGTAAGAACCCAAGCAGCTCTGGACAGGAACTTCTTTCCATTTAAACTGTTCTTGCCTTGTGTTTAAAGCTCTTCCACCTTTACACCTCCATTTACTGCCTTTTCTTTGAGGGTTATCTTTACCTGGGTTTTCTTTTTATGTTTTTTAAAAGATCATTCTGTTAAATACCAAGTTTTCCACTATTGTTTTCTTTCCTACAGTTAGATAAGTTGTTTAAATATCACTAACTTTATCATTTAAGTTTGCCTTCATTTTGAAAATTTTAATATATATAGGTCAGGGAGGTTTTTGGGGTTTTCCCCTCCTTCAAAAAGAAAAGAATCCCTCTCCTATGCTACTTGATATGTTTCCCCTCTCCCTACTACTTTTGGTATCTCATCGATGAACATTGTAGATTTGTGTTTTTGTTGCTGCTGCTCTTCCTTGTGGCATTTTAATTTCTTCCAGTGCCAGAGTTTTTAAATAAAGCATTTAGAAGATAACTCTTAAAATGATGTTTAATGTAACTGTTAGGAATTACTAAAGGTTGAGTAGCTTTTGAGTGAATTTTGTTGTTAATGTTTCTAAGAGTGTTTAGTCTTGGATGGACCAGTCCATAGGCTGTTTATTAACCTGACACCCTTGTTCTGAGCAGACTCTGTTACAAGACTCAGATTTGCTTCTGTTACAAGACTCTTAGATTTGCTTAAGTAATTTAGAGCCTTTACATCAAGTACTTTCCTATATAAGATACTTGACAGATGAAGAGCATTTAAATGTGATTCATGAGGACTTTTAAAAGAGAAATTACCTATTTTCTATTATTTTTTACTTTTAGTCCAAAATGAAAACAATTCAAACCTAGTAGTAATCTTTGCTTCCAAGTGGCTTCTTCTGGACCCCACTGCCAGGTTCAGCTCCTTAGGAAATCCAGATTAGGACTACGTATGTCAGCAGCAGTGAATCTATTATATATTTTGTCAGACAGTTGCTGTGCCAGGACTCAGATTTCCCAGGGCTGCTTGACATCATCGCTCCTTTCCTTTAGTGCTAGAGCAACTTAGATTGGCCTTTTGTCCCCAACTATTCAGAACATTCTGAAGCATTAACTTATTTTCCCATTAAGATCCAGTCAAAGACAAAGATTTCAGTTACTATACCTGGCTCAAAGAGACAAATTTAAGAAATGAAACTACTGAGTTTTGGATGAGATGGTGCTTAAAATTATTCTTGTTCACAACCTATTTTGAAGTAAAATTCATTTGGGACCCCTAAATATACCAATATTACTTCCTTTCTAAATAGGGGAAAATAATCATATTTAGGGGAATTTTCTTAACATAATGCTGAATCATACTTTACCTTCATTCTCATCACATACACATATACACACACTTTTTTAAAAAACCCCAAAAGCTTCATATGCAAATATTCAAAACATAGAGGACTTTGCTGTAGTTATTTATCTAGAAACCTTAGTCCAAAAAAAGAAAAAGAAAACCTCATTTTTCTCATGAAATTAATTACAATTTTATTTCTGCTAGGTGAGTGTTTCTATGGTTGGTTAGAGCCATTGCTGGCCAGAATAGCTGAGAACTACACAGCTGTTGTAAGTCCAGATATTGCATCAATAGATCTTAATACTTTTGAATTCAACAAACCTTCTCCTTATGGAATTAACCATAACCGTGGAAACTTTGACTGGAGTCTTTCCTTTGGCTGGGAATCCCTTCCCGATCACGAAAAGCAAAGAAGGAAAGATGAAACCTACCCAATTAAGTAAGTTGATTACTCTCAAAGTCTTATATTTTCACCATACAATTTCTTTCAATATGTATGAACTCTCAGGGGACTCTTGTGACATAGTCCGTAAAGAGTTGAGTTGCTAACTCAAAGGCACTTATTGGTGTTGAAGCTTCTCCCAGGGAGAAAGAGGGACAATCTCCCCCTGTGAGATTAGTTGTTGTTGTTGTTGTTGTTATTATGTGCTGTCGCCCTAAACTCTGCTCTGTCCTGTGCCAATTGTGCTGTCTTCAACCCATCCCGATTACCCCAGTCACTGAATCAATCCACCTCATAGAGGGCCTTCCCCTCCTGCATGGTCCCTCCACCCTCCCAAGCATGATGTCTCTCTCCAAGGACTGGTCCCTCCTTACAAAAACATGTCCAGAGTATGTTAGACGAAGCCTCAGAATCCTTGCCTCTAAGGAGCCGCTGGTTTAACCCTCTCCAGGTTGAATCTGTTTTCCTAGCAGTCCATGGTACCATCAACACTCTTCTCCAGCACCACAGCTCAAAGGCATCAATTCTCCTTCTATCCTCCCTAGTCATTGTCCAACTCTCTGATGCATAACAAGTGATTGGAAAGACCATGGCCTGTGTCAGACGTACCTTAGTCTCCAGAGAGACACCATTGCTCTTTAGTACTTTGGAGAGGTCCCTAACAGCAGACTTTCCTATCGCAGTTGTTGTTGAAGTGCTGTCGAATCGCAGGCAACTCATAGTGACTCTATGAAGGAGAGTCCTCAATGTTTTTTAATTTCCTGGCTACTGGTGCCAAGATTGTTGACTGTGGAGCCAAGCAAACTAAAGCTGTGAACAATCTCAATCTCTTCACCATCCATCCTGATGCTGCCTTAGAAACTCAAATAGAGGCTCAGCTGTGAGTCAGTTCCTCCTCAGTGGCAATGAGTTGTGTTGATATACTGTTTGCTTTTATAGCACAATGCATCTGAAGTAATCCATTCTGTATTTAAGGAATAAAGACATTGCTTTCCTAGGTACTCACATGATGTCAGGCGACCCACAGCTATTGAGTTGGTTACGATTCATAGCTACCTCTATCACGTTTCTAAAGCTTTGTCAGAGGAGACTGAAATTTTTCTTGCTTTCCCCTCAACTGAGTGGCTGGTAGATTCGAACAGGACCTTTCAGTTAGCAGCCCAATAACACTACACTATCAGGATTCTACACATGATGCCACTGAATAAAGTTAAGTGAAATCTTAGACCTTCCTCATAATTACTGCGTATAAATATTTAAGCTTGATTAGGAGAAGACAGTAACTATGCTTTACTAGAAGACAAAATAAGTTTGCATTTCCCCCAAAACATTACAAATAATTTTTGACCTAGATAGGAGCTTTGGGATTGTGATATCTGTTTATTTATTTATTTATTTGGTTGAAAATGTGACTCTCTTAATGCAATTTAATTTTGGTTTTTATAATAACATTGATAATGAATTATTTTTCAGGACACCTACTTTTGCTGGAGGCCTTTTTTCTATATCAAAAGAGTATTTTGAATATATTGGAACATATGATGAAGAAATGGAAATCTGGGGAGGTGAAAACATAGAAATGTCTTTCAGAGTAAGTTTATGGTGATAAAAGAGTGTACATACATTAAACAGTGGGCTGTATTGTGTTCTCGTTGATAAATACAGATTGCTGTGCACATTCTTTACTTTCTGTGTTCCTAAAATGGAATTCCTAAAAAGTTCATAATATTCCTTTTTAACATGTAACTTAATATATTTGTTTGTTATTGCCGGTGTCAAAAGAATAAATCAGTTAAACTTCTGTGTCCAAGCTATAGCACCAATTAATGCACTTGTAGCTACTGAGTTCCAGCCAAGATAAATATAATTAAATCCAGTGCTCCAGGAAATGAGTTGATTATCAAGGGAGTTAGAATGGAAAAACATTTATGTATAATTTTAAAGAATGTTAGACTTAACTCGTGATTAAATGAGTTGGTTTTTCTCTATACACATTAAAAGTTAATATGAGATACAAAACAAAGGTTTTGGATGGTCTCCATGTGTACCTCATTTATTGATTTCATGCATTCATTTTCCTTCAATTGGCTCTGTAGTTCATTTTTCATACCTTTGACTGGAATGTGGTTTGAAAAGGACTGAATTAGGAGTTGGAATATTCACATTTTGTCTGGCTCCATCATACACTGGCAGTAATAATTGTAGCCAAGCTTGAATCTTTTAAATATAGAGTTTTATTTATTCATTTTGGTATTCCTAGCACATTTATATATCAAATATAGTTTGTTTAGTTGAACATACCATTTGTTTAAAAAGTGAGAGGAGAGAGAGAGATATATGACTCCTTTTCTTATGGCTACATTAACTGTTATACATGACTTCATTTCAGAATTTTTGCTTAGTGTTTATTTCTGGCAAAACCAATTATCAAGATAATTATTTAAATGAAAAGGGATTAAGATCTTGTCTTGCCATTTTATTTAATGTTAGTGCAAGTAAGTTGTTTTTTAAAAATTTTTAGTACTAAAAAGATATGCATTATTTATGATGACCAACTGCTTCACAAAATAACTAGGTTGTACTTTGATAAGAATGTATGTTTGGCATTGTTTTCTTAAGTGTAAAATAAATATGAAAGGGGTAAGTGAATGCAGGGTTCACTTGGTTCCAGACATTCATAGCAGAAAGATTTTCTTATTCAGACGAAGTGACCACATAAGTTATAGAAGAAAGTAGAAGTCAAATGCAGAAGTATTCCCATGCAATCAGATTGTTTGCTTAATTGGGTGAAAAAAAAATTAAGAAATTTTGGACATAACTTCCTTTATTAAAAAAATGGTTTATTGTCTCTAATATTTGTGTTATTTAATACAATTGTTGTTTATGCTTAAGATCCCAAATTGAAATTTCAGGGGGCAAGTATTATTTGTAAAAAAAATATAATAAGTTTATCTCTGTATTTTCATTAAAATCTTAAAAGTGAACTTAAAAACAACACTTTGACCTTCCTAAAACATTTTCAAATTAAACAATTATCATTAATTATCAGGTTTGGCAATGTGGTGGGCAGTTGGAGATTATGCCTTGCTCTGTTGTTGGACATGTTTTTCGTAGCAAAAGCCCTCATACCTTCCCAAAAGGCACTCAGGTGATTGCCCGCAACCAAGTTCGCCTTGCAGAAGTCTGGATGGATGAATACAAGGAAATATTTTATAGGAGAAACACAGATGCAGCAAAAATTGTCAAACAAGTAAGTTAATGTTAATGAATTCAGTTAACAAAATTCACCCCAAGTTCTTGTGTCCTTTCTCTTATTTGAGTCTTAAATACAACAGAGAAAAAAGAATTCTGTTCTTTGAAGGTCTACACATTTTCCCACTATAAAGATATATCTCACTGATGTCTGTTTTATTCTTTTTTAAAGAACTACTGAGTGGATAGTATAAAATAATTTAGATATTCTAAGTTTTGTCATCTTTTTTTAGTCTGGAGGATACTTCCATTTCAAAATTGCCTTGATTCAATATTGCACTTAAAATAAGATTAAGTGAAACCTGATTTTACTGGTTTTTGAAACTGATTAACACATAAATGAAGGTGCTAAGTGGCCTTTTGAATGGAGAGAGACAAAGTCAAGAGCATGCCCTGTGATTAACCTGGAATGTTAAAGATATTTTGCTTTTGTTTTCACCCCCACCCACCCACCCACCCCCCACAAATTCTGATTCCGTTACTCACCAGATTTGCTACCTTGGAGAGTCATCTTGAGATGATAAAATGAAGAGAGGACTTTCTGGAGTGGTTGAGAGGTTGCCGAGCATGGAGAATATGCTTAGCAGGCTCCTCTGCTCTTCTTCCCTCTGAAGAATAGGCCTCTAAAGATAGGCCTGCCTATCTCACAGGGTCACTGTGAAACAAGAAAATGTGTTCGGGAATATATGAAGCTGCTGTTACCAAACTGTCATAGATGAGAATTGTGTAAAATCTCAATGCCTAATAAAATAAAAACTCAATTCCAACAACATTAATGTTGGATATGATAAAAGTACTGCCATTATATCAACAGGTTTCAGTGATTGGCACTGAATGTAAGAGACAGTACTAAGCTGAGGGGTATTTCCTCAGAGTCTAGGGTATTGACATTTTGACTGCCCTGGAAAAAAAAAAAGAAAAAAGAAAGATCTAGTTACATCTTTCTGCCTTTTTTCTTTTTAAATATATACTCTGTCTCCCTGTAATTTATCTGTTGTTGTAATCTCAAGCACTGTGGGGTTAGATTGCAATCTTTTCTTACCCGGGATTGCCGAAACTGGGTAGATTTTGTACGGCACAAAGGCACCCGGCTAATGGCTACATGGGTGCTATGTGCAGCCCATGCTCTGCTTTCTTACCCACAAAGCAGCTAATGAACCAGAAAGCCTTTTTTTTTTTTTAAAACAAGGGAAACAGGACCTACCTACTAAAATGTATGAGCTAACCTGGAGTCTTAAGAGCCTCATACTGTTTGCCAGAAGACCTTGGTCCAAGACAGTGAAATTGACAGAAGAAAACATTTTCCTTCATTGATAACCTTTCCATAACAGAGTGGTGCAGCGAGTAACTTGACTGCCACCTGAAAACTAACAGTTTGAACCGACCAGCCATAATGCCAGAGGAAGATAAGGCTGCACATTTTTGTAAAATAGTGCAGCCTTAGAAATGTGATAGAATCATCAAATGTCAAATTTACATATGAAATATGATTTTTCTCTATAAAGTTTTGCCTATAGGCTATATATCTTTGATGTTTAGTTGTTGCTGTAATGTGCTGTTAAATGGAATATGACTTTGTGTGACCCTATGAACAACAGATCTGAACCCTATTCTATCCTTTGCCATCCTTCTCTCTGACATACTTGAACTCATTATTGCAGTCACTGTATCAGTCTGTCTTATTGAGGGCTTTCTGTCTTTCCTTCAAGCAACATGCCCAAAGTATGTGAGATGAAGTTTCACCATCCTTGCCTCTGACAGCACTTTGACAGTAACTTCTCCAAGACATACCTGTTTGCTCTTTTGGCAGTCCATGGGGTGGATATTCAGTACTTTTCACCAACACTGTAATTGAAAGGCATCAACTCTCCTTCTGTCATCCTTATTCATTGTCCAACTCTCACATGCATTGCAAGTAATTTAAAAGACCATGGCTTGAATCAGGAACACTTTAGTCTTCAAACTGACATGATTGTTCCTCAGTACTTTGGAGACAGCAGACTTTCCCAGTACAATACATCTTTTGATTTCTTGACTGTTGAGGTTAAGGGTGTTGATTATGGATCCAGATAAGATGAAGTCTTTTATAGTTTCAGTCTTTTCTTAAACTAACATGATGTTGCCTATCAATTCAGAGGTGAAGATTTATATTTTCATTGTAATGTAATCCATATTAAAGGCTACAGTCTTTGATCTTCTGCAGCCAGTATTTCAAGTCCTCACTTTCAGTAAGCGAGGTATGTCATCTGCAAAATGCAGGTTGTTGATGAGTCTTCCTCCTACGCTGCTGACACATTTTTCTTCCTAGAACCCAACTTCTCGAAGTACCTGTTCAGCCTACGGAGTCAATAGGTATCGAGAAAGGATACAGCCCTGACAGACACCTTTCTTGATTTTTAAACCATGTAGTGTTCCCCTCCTCTATTCGGAAAACAGCTTTCTTTTTGTTTTAGGTATATATTTCTTTTGAGCAATATTCTTTTGCGAAATGTTCTGGGATTCCCATTCTTCTTAGTGCTATCTATAGTTTGTTGTGATCCACTCATTCAAATACCTGTGCACAGTCAATAAAATTCAAACAGATATTCTTCTTTTATTCTCTGCTTTCTGCCAAGTTCCATCTGACATTAGCGCTAATATTTCTGGTGCTACAGGTTCTTCTAAACCCAGCTTGAACTGTGGGAAATTCTCTGTCAGTGTATGGTTCTTGCTGTTTTTGGATAATCAACATTTTGCTTGTATGTGATATTAACAATATTGCTCGGTAATTTTCACATTTTGTTAAATAACTTTTTTTTTGGAATAGGAACAAATATGACTCTTTTCAATCAGTTGGCCATGTAGCTGTCTTCTAAATTTCTAGGTACAGACCGGTATGTCCAGGGTAGCATTGTTAGTTGAAAGATGTTAATTGGTATTTCATCAATTCCTAGCGCCTTAGTTTTCGTCAGTGTCTTCAGTGCACTTTTAATTTCTTCCTTCATTAGGATTGGCTCTTGATTATCCTAAAATATTTCCGTGTTGGACAATTCTTTTTGGTACAATGACTGCATATTCCTTCCATCTTCTGATGCTTCTTGGATCATTCAAGATTTTGCTCATTGCATTTCTCAGTATTGCACCTTGAGGCTTGAATTTGTTTTTCTGTTCTTTTAGCTTGGGAAAATGTAAATGAATTATTTTCTTTTTTATTTCCTAACCCCAGCTCTTTGCACATTTCGTTATAAAGACTTAATTCTGCCTTTCCCTTGCTCTTTGTAATCTTCTGTTCATTTCTTTCATGTTTTAGTCTCTTCCAAAATCTATTTTGTTCTTCTTCCTATGTCTATGTAATAACCTTTATTTAGTAGTTGTTGTTGTTGTTAGGTGCCGTCGAGTTATAGACAACTCGTAGTGACCCTATGAAAGAAAGACCTGAGTACTGTTCATAAAGTTTCCAGAGGCAAGCTATGTCAGAGGTAGATGCCATTCTTGCATCCAAGCTGGTTTTAATCAGGAAGTTCCATCAAACACTGTCCACCATGGGTAACCATTATCGCATTTGACACATCAATGTCACAGTGTTTAGCATCACAGCAACCACGAGTTACCTCTGTACAGCAAATAGACAGACCAGTGCTATACCACTTAGTAGAAGAATGTTTGACAAAAAACAAACAATTAAAACCAGACCTGAGAGCTGCAGATTAAAATCACCCACCTTGGGCAATAAAAACTTTTTCCACTTCTGGCAAGTGGCTTCCATTCTCTGGGGAGGCCAAGCTGGCCACATTGCCACTGCACTCCCTCGCCCCCGCACAGGCTCTGAGATTTTGACACTTGTCTCCTGACCCAGAGCTACACCCTAGGGACTCTCTAAGGGCCCAAGGGAAAGAGGGTCCAGGGAGCCAGCCTGGACATACAGAACATACAGGACCTGCACATACAGCCAGCCTGCACATACAGGACCAGCAACCAAACTTACGGGGGCCAAGCCTCCACTGTGCACGAGATGCCAAAAGTATTTTAACTAACTTGGAATAAATTCTTGCCACACCTGGCAGTGTTTGCTATGTTTCAGAACAAAAGCTTCAACATGTGCATGGAGAAGAACCTCATGACCTGCCCAGACGACTACATCACCCTCTATGACCGCCTCAACATCCACCCCAGCTACACCACCAACTAGCCCTCCAGAGAATGAGGATGGGGAGCCACCTTCCCAGAATCCTGGGCCCCCACCCAGTTGTTAGGCACAGCCCCACTGCCCTGCTACTCCTAGTCCTCTCTGCAGTAGAGACAGACACATCTTGCCATGGTGGTGTTATATACTGCTGAATAGGAACCAACTCATAGTAGACCCTCCAGTGGGTTTTTAGAGGCAGTTAATCACAGGGTAGGAGATTTTCCATCTTTAATGGAGCATCTGGTGGATGTAAACTGTATACCTTTGGTTTGGAGATACAACTCCTTACCACTAGGCTACTAGAGATACCTAGGTATGTTGTTGATTGCCTTAGAGTTGAGCATGACTCATAGCAACCCTATGAATAAAAGGCCTGAAGCCCTTCTACAAGTATCGACATTTATCAAAGTTCATAGAGTTTCCGGAGATATGTTATTTAGGAAGTGAATGCCACTCTTGCTTCCAAATATATAGGGCCCTTGAAAATTTTTAAAAATTCTTCCCAACTGTGTTAATTTTTTGTTGTCTTAACTAGAAAAGAGATACAAATTGTATTAAGTATTGACACTCTTATCTATTTTTCTCCTATGTCACTTTAAAGATTAAATAAATTTGGATACTCCATTCATATGTCACAGCTTTTCACAGTCGGAGAGGTTTGTGGCACAAATGAAAACTAACATTAGGTTAAATGTCTGAATCACAAGTCCTAAATTTAAATGCATGAAAGTACTTTATCAGTATAGGTTTGATTACACATCCACTTCATTTCTTCTCTTTCCCCAGAAATCATTTGGTGATCTTTCAAAAAGATTGGAAATAAAGCACCGCCTTCAATGTAAAAATTTTACATGGTATCTGAACACTGTTTACCCAGAAGCATATGTGCCAGACCTTAATCCTGTTATAGCTGGATATGTAAGTATTTTCCTGTTCCTTTTTACTTGATGTATTCCTTGCCACCAACAATTATGTGGTTTAGGAAAAGTTGCTGAAATAGTTTTCTGATTTATTGTTTTGAAGAGTTTTACATTATTATTATGAACACACAACTTGTTGAAATTCATTTAGAAATATTAAAGTTCTTTGATTTTAATGAAAGATATATTGTAACTTGAACATTTCTCTTTAGATTAAAAGCTATGGTCAGCATCTATGTCTGGATGTGGGAGAAAATAATCAAGGAGGCAAGCCGTTAATTATGTATACATGTCATGGACTTGGGGGAAACCAGGTAAGTAATGCACTAAGAATGTCCCATCTCAGCACCTAACAGCACAAGGAAGACGCATATGTTCTAGGCATCCTACTCAGTTTTTATACTAAATTAAATTGGTGTGTACAAATGTGTTTAGACTGAGTTTAACAGTTAATAAAGTAGTATTTTGTTTTGACTTTTATTCTGAGTGGCTTGAAATTTATTCAGTACAAAGGCAAATGAGAAAATAATAGGATAATGACATTTGAAATTTTAAAAAACCTATAATTTGGTGCAGAAGATCTCTGATGGTTTCATAACTACAACATGACATTTTTACAAGATTATATATAAAGATGATGTTTGAATGGGTTTAATAGCAGATTACATCAAGTTTTATACCTGAGAGCAGAAATGCATTTTTGTGAACCATAGGTTATTTTCATCTTCTTTTTTTTTTCTATAATTATATTTTATTAATTTTTATAAACATTTACAGAGATTTTGGGCTTCCACTCATTCATTGTTGCACTATTCTCTCTACCCTCCTCCCAGTT